TTAGCATAGTGGGCCAGAATGCAAGTACTAATACAAGATGCTATTTTCCACTGCAAGATTGCAGACGGTGTTCAGATGTTTTAAAGAATATCTAAATTAAGACATGCGTATACAAAACAATGCAGAGGGAAATAATCCAAAAATATAAATGCACATGATAGTATCATCATCACAAGATGATGGCATTAGAGTAAATGAAATGAGACTGCCTTTCTGAATTCTACCATGAAAAACAGTTAAGCACCAAAGGAAAAAGCTTCATCCTCCCAACATGCTAACTCTCTAGATCCAAAACAACAAACCGGATGGATTTCTCCTGACCATGATACTGAAATCGGTCACTTAGTTGCGTGGTATTTCACAGCAGTACATACTCCTGAAAGGCTCTATAAATTTCATTTTTAGATATATTATAATCAAGAAGGACTAATATATTTTGATCAGCCTAGCAAAAATAGTAGTATAATCATTTATATACATGTTAGACAACCCATCATACTATATCAGACCAAGAGCCTATCCACTTCAGCATTTTGTTCACACAGTGGCCAACTAGTTTTCCACAGGAAACCCACAAGCATGACATAAGTGCAAACCACCCTCTCACCCATGTTCCCCTGCATGTTGCCAAGCAACTGGCATGCACAAGCATACTGTACCTCTGAGACTTTTAGTTGTATGTAGCCATCAGAACAAGGAGTCATTGATAGCTGCTTTTTCCATGAATCTGCCCAGTCTCTTTTAAGACCATTGAAATTGGTGGCAATCACCACCTCTTGTTATAGTGAATCCCATAATTTGGCTATGTTATGTGAAGAAGTCCTTCCTTTTATCTAACTTGAATCTCTCACCAATCAATTTCCTGGGATGATCCCAGGTTCCACTATTATGAGAAAAGGAGAAAAATTTCTCCCTACCCATTTTCTCTACATCAGGTATGATTTTGTTCACCTTTTTGCATGAAAATGTAGCAAGAAACAAACCCACACATCCTGATACTTACCCAGACAATTGTTTTTTTTTAATTGATTTCATCATTAGAGCTTTACATGGACTATTTTTTCTCCCATCATGTTAATATGTTTTCCCATGTAATGGGTAGGAATGGTGGATCAGGGTATCAAGCTGTGAACTGGATGGGCACTCCGGTGTCCCATAAACAAAAAAGCAAAGTGAAAGCCTTGAAATGGCTAGACTTGCTTTCCAATTTGCTTTTTTTAAAACCACTGTATGAGAGCTTCAGTTCTGTGCTAATACCTGCATAAGAATACAGAGCCACTGCACTGGGGACATTTTCGTAAACTTAACACGTTGTAAACCTCTCCATGTTCTTTTAAATTGGTTCCCTGGGATATGTATTGTAAGGTTTTTTTTAACTATATATCATCATCTTGAGGGACAGAAAGATCATCTATAAATTAGTACATAAAAAAGTAAACAATACAATTTATGAAAAGAAAATCCAAGTTCACAAAATGGTGTCAAAATGAGAGTGTGGTTCTATTTTTTTTTTTTTTTCATCAGAGAAAACATTCACTAGGTTCCTGTGAATTTAACTCAGCCATGTTAACAATAGATGTACCATCCATTTAAAGAATTCAGTATGCCCCTCATACAAAAGTCTGTGTATCCAGTCTGCAATAGGAACTCTTTTTTGAGGAATTACATCTATTTTCCATGCTATAATGAAATAATTAGTCATTTATCCCCTGTTTACTTTGGCCTCCCCTTCCCACTGTTATTTTCCCTGAGTTTTAATTATAAACTCCTAGGGCAGGTTGTCTGCTCAGCAAAGCATTCTTAATTTAATGTCACGGAGATTATGTGGGATTATAACATCCAATGTGCCCCAAGACAACATCCAAAGCATCTGGACATCACCATGTTAGGGAAAGCTGCTATACATGCTTGTAGTAGCAGTAGTAATAGTAGTAGTAGGAGGAGGAGGAGGAGGAGGAGGAGGAAGTAACAGTGGATCTGTTACATATAAATTATTTGATGGGGAAACAACATCATCCAAATTTTGATGTAGACCTAGAAAAGTGTCCATATGGGTACTAGTGCTAACATAACTTACTCCCTCTAGTACAACACCAGCTTTGATGGAACTCCCCAGGAATCCCACTGTACTAACTAACAAGATTAGTGTTGCGCTAGAGCTCACTTTCATTAAAATGTAAAAGTAAAGGTTCCCCTGCACATATGTGCTAGTTGCATCCAATTCTGGGGCCATTGTTGGTAAGCCATTGGTAAGCCAAAGAGCCCGTGTTGTCTGAAGACGCTTCCGTGGTCATGTGGCCAGCATGACTAAACACCAAGGTGCGTGGAATGCTGTTACGTTTCCCACCAGGATGGTACCTATTTATCTACTCACATTTGCTTTTTTGAACTGCTAGGTAGGCAGGTGCTGGGACAAAGCAGCGTGCATTAACCCCGTCACACAAATTCAAACTGCCAGCCTTCCAATCAAGAGCCCAGCGGTTCAACGGTTCAACCTGCTGCACCACCCACACCCAGGCTTCACTTACATTAGCACAACCTAATTTATATTAGTGCTGCCCCTAGAAGCTTTAAAGGGACTACAAATCTATAATGATTCACTGACATAACAAATGCTGTGCGGCTGAATTAGTCATATGGTCTTCACAGAAAATTCAGTATTAGTTTCAGTTTTCAGAAGTATCTACATTACTTCAAAACAACATCCTTTATAAATTTCAGTATAGCATTGTCTTCTTGAATTTACAAAAATTGTTGACAACTTCAGACAAATGATAACAATCTGTGAAATCCAAAGACCTGAGAGAACATGTAGATAATTTTAGCATCAGTAGTTTGAGAAAAAAGTAAGAAAGCATCACACATCAGGTGAAAAGCAATAGTCACTCCTCCATAAAATTAATCAGTGATTTCTTAAGCAGCTTCAGATAACAATAACGTATTTACACACAGAGATTATGTCTTCAGATAAAATGCCAGACTGAATATTTATATCTACAAACATTATTGGTATTTGTTCAACCTTTTTTTTATATTACTACCATCAACTTCCACTAAAACTGCAGTTCAATCTAAAGTCAAACCTTTCATCTAGACAATGCATTATCAAGCATTAGATCAAAGCACATTCATAAACATTTAAGATTTGTGAATCTAAGACTTTGCTAAGCACAATCCACTTCTGACCCACTCTTGGCAAAAAGCAACTTTTAAAAGTAACAAAGTATTCCAAAAGAAGATTGAAAAACAACAATGCAGAAATCTTATTTATAATCCTTTGAAAATCTAGGTAGCTAAATCTGGATTTGCTATCCCTTCTTCTGTTCACATGTTGTCAAAATGTTCAGTGTAACGCCGCACAGACATCAATAGCTCTATGTAAATAATAAAAACTATGCAGAACTTAAGAAAATCCCTAGGCCTCTTTAGACATGAATGCATGCATGGAATGAATGCATAGGAGGGACATTCCTAAATAGAACACTGGAGTGCACCTTCACAAGTTGTGTGTCAAAGGCAGCCTTTCAAGTAAGCAGAGTGAGGCAACTGCATATTGGAAGCCGCACAAGCCATTCCTGCTGAGCCCCGGAAGATATTTCACCAGGCAGGCACAACTCAGCCTGCCCTGCAGCGCCAAAGTTAGCCCTGCTGACCTGGCCACAGGCGTGGTGTTCCCTCATCACCAGCACAGCGGTAAACTTCAACTGCCCAATCCAATTAGCTTCTTCATGTGGAACGTCCTTTGTCCACCAGCTAAATATTTTGGGCAGCCCTGCCTCCTATAAAAGCATCCTATGTCTGATTTCATAGCGAAAGAGAGGTACCCATTCTGCTGACGCTTCACCATGTAAAATATATGTCATAATAACAAGAGATATAACATTTCTCTGCCAAGGTTTATGTTCCACCTCTGTGGAAAACTGTCAGGGTCTGCATTCTAGCAACATCACGGCCTGAGCCTTAGGTGGTCAGGCAAGATCAGAACCAGAACTGGGCTGAGTTCTGGACATGACTTGAGATGCAACTGCAACAGCAAGTGATATGCACACAGGCATCCTTTCTCAACCAGTCAGGGCAAGGTCCCCATCTTTAGCTTTGTAGGAGAAAGACAGAAGTAAAGACTACATAGAGCGTCCTTCACTTCATTCTGCTCAACTCCAGGGGACTTCCCATCTAAGGTACATATTGCAAGAATCAGCAGGAAATAAAGGAATACTTTTCAAGTTCCTCTGACTAAACCTGATTGTCAAAGTACAAACCAGAAAACATGGATAATTCTGGCCAACACAGATTTTGGTGCCTCAAATGTTAGATCTGCTCCTGGGTATATTTGACCAGCTGATTCCAAACATAGCACCAAGTTTTCCCTTTCAGCTCTAGTTTTTGAGATGCAGCATAAATGCCATAGACCACTCTTCACTCTGATCGCCTGTCAAAAATCAGGATATTTTAATGTAGTGTTTTATTTCATCTACTTATAGCTTGAAAGAAACACATTAAAAATTAAACGAAAAGTGAAATGCATTAAATCTACTTATTTCAAACCAAAAGCACAGGTTTATGATACAAACATTCCAATTATTCAACACAGAAGAAGCTCCTTTTGTAAGATAAGGTTCCAACAGTAATCTGCCATCATGTGTGCATCCCATTTTCCTTAATATCTGCCTTCCATTGTTTTTATGTCTTGGTGAAATCTTTCACCTTGCTATTCACTTAAGTCACCAAGGTTCTCTGGAAAGCAATCTAAAAGTTATCAGCAAGACCTTTTCAAAACCTGACTAAAAAATTATATAAATTTGGCCATATCTAAGAAACTAGAGCCGTTGCAGTCTAGCCAGTGCAATTTTCTGAATCAGTGCCCCAAATCAGGTCTAAAAAGCAAGGGAAAAATCAAGAAAAAAGGACTTTTTGTTGGGCAGCGTAATTCTTGAACTAATCACAGAAGCAGCAATGCATGCAGACAAATAGGAAGAAAAGAGAGCAGGGAAATCACTTACATTATTCATGTATTCGGAAAGAAGATCTTGGAGCGCTTGTCGAATGGCATTGCACTCAGTGATGATACGTTCACGATGAACATCACGTGTGCAGGAGGAATCTGCTAATAAGGCAGCTCCACTGATAATTCCTTCTAAACGCTTCTCCAGTGATGGCCTAATTTTGTCTTCATTCACAGGAAGATGATCCAAGGTAACTAAGTTCTAGGGAAAAGGATTAAAGAACAGGGTGGAATCAGACCACTTTTCTACTTCTCTGGCACTAAAAAACCAGAGCATTTACATCAATTTGCCATTCCACATCTCCAGGTCTGACTCTTTCCTTCCTGTTTAGGGTCTCTTCAACCTTCATTTTCTATGGACAGTACATAAATCATAACAAGCTTATGCACTTAGTTTATAGTTCAGAAGTCTCATCCATTCCAGATACATTACTGTATGTGACAGTTGACATCAAATGCTCTTTGGGATATAACCAGGGCAGAGGTACCGATAGAAATTATGTTCCTAAGGAATAGAAATAAATAAGTGAGAACCCTCTTTCAGAATTCCTTATTTATCATTCAGTGACAGCCAAATTAGAAGAATATTTTTACAGATACCATAGGGTTCCTCAAGCAGGGTCATTCCAGACATATGTACTACAACTCCACTGTCACTAACCACTGGTCATGCTGGCTTGAGCTGCTGGCAATTGTAGTCCAAAACATCTGGAGGGACTCAGATTGAGGAAAGTTTCTAAACTACCCAGGGAGCTTCAGCTATTAGACAGACCTGAAATCAATGAAAGTTCAAAAGACCAAAGCACAATAGAGCTAAATGCAATACAGAGATGCCCTCAGGTCCCTTGTTTCAGTGCTGGGTGGGACTAAAAGGAAATGGGCAAGATCAAAGGCAAAAGCATTGTGGCCAACACACACACACACACACACACACACACAAGCCCACCACATCTTAGCTTAAAGTTCTCATTGCAGGTAATTAACGCTTCAGAGTAGCATTTCAACCTTTTAGAATAGCAGGGTGGAGGGGACTACACAAAATATGGAAAACTACCAAAGAGCTGGTGGTTCAGAGAGCAAGAACCAAGAGAATTGGACTCAGTTGTCTGGAATTCCTCAAAGAACCAGACTAGGACCGCAGGAAGAATGGATTTAGCCTCAGGCCATACCTTCCCGTCCCACCTTAGCTGCTTCACACATTCCCCCAGTGCCTGAAACCACAATCCAACTATCCCTGTTCATAGTATCTATTCTAGTCTTCACACAAACATATCATTAGAAAAGGCAAGGGCCAAGAATGATTCAGTATTAGAATTCATTGTGAGCTCTTTACACAGCACATAACCAATGCATTTTCATGTTTTAGTCTAATGACAGACTATGGTTATGTTTCATTGTCCACATTGATAGGAACAAGGTGCCACTGCATACTGAAATTCCTAATGACTAGAATTCACAATGAATTAATGTTCCACAATCTCACACAACGGAGTGGACTGGCTCGTCTCATAACAAAAAGTGGCATTCTTTCTGTACTCTTCTTCATGTGAGCTAGAAATCTGGTGATGCCATCTATCCATCCCTTTGAATTCTAAGACTCAGTCAACCTAAGATCCATCAATCACCAGCAGCAGCAGCTGCTATAGCTCCTCATCTCCTCTCTCATCCTTGCCACAAAGTGCTTGCTTAAAGTCAGCAAGACAGTGAGCAAAAGGCACGAGTATCTACTGCTCTTCTTTCTCATCACCTCTGTCGTCTGGTTCAGGTGAACAAGCCAATGCGGGGTGGCAGGCAGAGTGCTAGAGTCGGGCCCAGGGAAATCCAGGTTTTGGTTCCCACTCAGCCAAGACACTCACTGACTGCCTTTAAGCCAGTCACTGCCTCTCAGCCTAGCCTTCCTCATAGGATTTTTCCTGGGAAGACAAAATGGAGGTATCCATTTCCCAGCTATGGATCTCTTGTGATGTAACCCTCACAAAAGGAAACAGCAGCAGCAATATTGTCATTGATATATATTAAGAAAATACGGTTAATATTAACAACGACAGACATATTGCAGGGGTGAAGAGAAGGAGTGAATCCAGAGGACTTTCAGCCATGCTCACTTTCTTCAGGCTGTCGTGTCCCTTCTTAGGGTTTCCCTTCCTGGGAGGCCTGCCATGTGTTCCACACTCCTTTTGCCAGCAGGCAACGAGCTTCTCATTCTCCCAGACTTTGTAAAGACTGACTGTAGCAATTTTACCATTGTTCATTCTATTGCAACGTACTGCTATGGCTTCTATTAATAATAATGCAACTAACATTTTCGAAGCACTCTTTCCTTGTGGATTCATACTCTAACACTAATGTTCACATGACTCCAGTTCTCCGTCAGCTTCACTGGCTTCCCATTGAAGTCCGGGCCCAATTCAAGGTGTTGGTGATGACCTATAAAGCCCTAAACGGCTTGGGTCCTGGTTACCTGAAGGAGCGCTTGCATCCATATATGCCCAGCCGCCCCTTGAGATCGGCAGGGGAGGCCCTTCTCCGGGAACCCTCCATGAAAGAAATTAGAAGGGTGGGTACTCGGAGGAGGGCTTTCTCTGCGGTGGCGCCTAAGTTATGGAACGCGCTCCCCAGAGAGGTCCGCCTGGCGCCGTCGTTATTTGTTTTTCGGCGCCAGGCGAAGACCTTTTTATTCAAGCGGCATTTTAACTGTTAACATTATTGGTTTTATCTGGCCAGGGCGGCTTATTTTATACTGTATTGTGGTATTTTAACTTAATATTTATATTTTTAATTTATATTATAATTATTGTGAGCCGCCCCGAGGCTTCGGCGAATGGGGCGGCATAAAAATGTTTTAATAAATAAATAAATAAATAAATAAATAAATAAATAAATAATGTGGGCAGCAAGTGGATCTGCACCGACCAGTAGACTTCTGGGTGGTTAGCAATACATCAGCAAGGATTTCTGATTCCTGACCTTTTAACAAAAGCAGCAACAAAATTACTCCCTTACCCTGTCCTAAATTTTACCGCTAAGCCAAAAGGGAGGATTAGGGGCAGCTTTTCACATGTTCATCTCTAGTTTGCCAAACACATTTCTGGATTCAGAATTCTAATTTTTTGCATGAGGCTCCAGCTGGAGGATCTCCTTGCTCTAGAGAAAGAAAAAAGGCTGAAGTACACGCAACCCTGATCTAATTACAGATTAAGCAAGAGGTGTGGGGGGGTTGCTTTTCCTTCCTCTCCTCAGAGGCAGCCAGGTTATTTTTAAGTTTAAAATAGGCATCCCATTAACATCACAGCCCTAGGAACATCACTGTTGAATTCTTGCCCTGTGTTCATTCTTAGTAGAATAATAGAAATAGTCCTCAGGGGAGATGCTGGGCTCCTAGCCCAGTTCCTCCCATCAACGTTTCCCTTAAATTCTGATGGGAAGTGTCTCTTCACAGCTTAGCAGATCAAGGGAGGGTCCTGGCTTTGAACACACATTTTTCACTGGTGTTCACATGGAGCTGCAGCAATGTTCTCATTCCAGCTGCTGTCTATAGCAAGGAACCCTCCTTTGATTTTCTTCCAAGAAATGCGACTGCAGTCTTGAAAGTGGGTATCTGGAAATCAGCGTCAAGTGACATAACTTCTCCTGCTTCTATCCCATGCAACACAGCGGTGCTGAGATGTCTTTCCTCCTTATCATGGTCATGACATTTGTGCATTGAATGGTTGAAGAAAAAAAATTCCAGGAAACTCATTGCATATTCTGCAACGCAAGCTTTTCCCAGGGAATTTTCGAAAGAACACATCAAAAACTGCTCTTTTTTCATTACCAGTCTCTGTTCATGCACACATGCAGAATGCTGGATCTGTGAAATGGCTTCATCTACAACATGAACTAAAACTGCTTTGTTTATCAAAAGACATTGCCAATTTCATAATGGCAATGTCCTTTGATAAACAAATTAAGCAAGCCACCTTCCTAATTCATGGAAATGGCAACAGACATTAGAAATTCATCAAGTTATTACATCTCTTTTATGGAGGGTTTTCACAGTGGGGTGAGTATGCCTGATTGCAGAGGAAAATGGCACACTAGAAAGTGAATCTGTTGGGAGTTGCTTCCAACTACAATAGGAATGCAGGAAAATTAGCGATATTTAATTAAGCAAGAAATATCTCTGTACTTTCTTCCACAGAAGAAAATCAGGGAACTCCAGGACCTCAATTTGTACTTAACTTGGGAAGGAAATATGGAACAATGTAATGTGATGCAAACAGAGTTTTTACTGCACTGAACGAGCAAATTTAAATCCCAATCTTAAATTATTGTTGTTGTTATTGTTGCATTGCATTTATATCCTGTCTTTCTTCCTCTTGCAAGGAACCTAAAGCAGCCTACAAGTTTCACCTCCTCTCCATTTTATCTTCATAAGAACAATCCTATGAGGTAGGCTTGGGAGTGCTCCTTGACCCGGAGCTGTCATTGGAAGCTCAAGTGACAGCAGTGGCAAGGAGCACTTTCCTTCAGCTTCGGCTAATCCATCAGCTGCGTCCCTTCCTGGAGGAGAACTGCCTAGCAACAGTAACACATGCACTGGTTACTTCCCGGTTGGATTTCTGTAACGCGCTTTATGTGGGGCTGCTCTTGAAGACAGTCCAGATACTTCAGATGGTGCAAAACAGAGCCGCCAGAATGCTGTCGGGGACTGGGCGTTATTCTCATATAATCCCAGTCCTCTATCAGCTCCATTGGCTTCTCATCGAAGTCCGGGCTCAATTCAAGGTGCTGGTTATTACCCATAAAGCCCTAAATGGCTTGGGATCGGGATACCTAAAGGAACGCCTTCTTCCCTATTTGCCCTCCTGCCCCCTGAGGTGGGCAGAAGCCCTCCTCTGGGAACCCTCTGTGAAAGAAGTTAGGAGACAGAGTACCCGGAGGAGGCCCTTCTCTGTGGTAGCACCCCGTCTATGGAATGCGCTCCGCGGAGAGGTCCGCCTGGTGCCGTCATTATATGTTTTTCGGCCCCAGGTTAAGACCTTTTTATTTGATCAATATTTTAATAAGTTTTAATATTGAATTTTATCATCATATTTTAATTGCAGCCAGAGTGGGTTGTTAATTTATGTTATGTTAGGTATTTGTATTTTATTTGTGTAAGCCATCCTGAGGGTCTTGCAAAGGACAGCATACAAATATCTTAAATAAATAAATAAATAA